CTCGGTTATATAAATATGTGTACAATGTGATGGTGTTTCGGGGTGGTTTAACAATGTCCCGAATAGCCATTTGCTTACACAACCATTAAAATAAGCCCGATTGCAAGAAATTCAACTGCTGCAGCATCATTACAGCATATAACAAGAACTAGGCATGTACACCAAATTAGCCCACATAACAAGTGGGGGAAGAAATAACACATGAGATAAGCATACAATTCCAAAAGCTTAAACCCCCAGAAGCTGATCAAAATTCTCAAGCATATATATACACCTGTGACTAAGTTAATTTATCATCATTTTAATTTGCATTACGGGCATAACATATCCAATCGAATTATCAACTAACACTACTCCTGTTTATAACAAGTCTCTTAAAATGTCAACCAATTTGCAGAAAAATGCTTCATCAATCCAAAAAGTAGGAAACTTTATTTAAGTAGGGGAATCAAACTTCATTCTGACAAACAATCAAGACTATAGCTAGGACTTGGTGTTTGAGTACTGAAAGCCCATCAGCACCAACATCGAGATCATCAACAGAGAACATTATTACACCCAAACATAAGGAAAACACAAATATAAAACCAAAAAGGCAGAGATAACTTCTTCAACTCACGGGCATCAATATCGTTGAATTTCCAATTCTTATCACCCAGTGCCTGGCTCACCAGCTTGAACCCAAATTTGTTCTCATTCGTAGAATCAGAAGAAGAAACATTCTTCTCGCAGCAAAGAATCTTGAAAACACATTTCCTTTTACGGTGTGGGATTGCGGAAAGTTTAGGGGATGGCCAAACGAGGGGTGTTTTAGCTGTGAGTTTGAACACCATGTTTCTCTTACAAAATTGGCTATCGAGATCCAAGATTCGAGTTTACTGGTTTTCCCGATTCCAAGAATATAGGGGAGACGGCCATAGCAGAAAAATTATGACAAAAAAATAGTAAAAATCGGGATGAAGGCAACAAAGTTCGCTTTCGAGTGTGGAGGCGCGGCAGAGCTCTTGGATTGGTAAAATACGACAATAAAATAAAGTTATTAAAAAAGAAATGTACGGCTGGAAATTTGTGTGTGGATTAAATGAAGTGTAATAGTACTAATTTGGTCTAAGGAGTTATTATTAGAGATAGTTAGGCCTCTTTTAATTAATTGAAACGGATCGGGTATTGTTATTTAACCGACCTTATTCGACGTTTATTATTATTGATTGATAGCGCATAGGATTTGATCTACGTGGCATGTGGTGGCCCATCAACAAATTAGGATTTAAAATTATTTTTATGTCCCTGAAATATTATGACAAATGTCTTAAGAGCGCTTTTAGATTGAATTATTTACAAGCATTTACCATCGAGAGGAACTGGTTGATGCCGGGAAGATGACAGCAGGAACCTAAGTTCATAATCAGAAGGAGAAACTAGAAACTTCATATATATTTTTGTTGCAGAGTCCTACTTTCAGAATCCCTTGCTCCGTATGTGCCCAAATGAACCCTAATTGCAGAATCCATCGTGACCTCCCCAGTTGGGCCACAACGTCCATGAACGCTTGTGAGCTGCAGGGTCCTCGCGGGCTCCTCGGATCCAGCGGACCCCGTGGCCCCGTTCAGCTCCGAAATGTTGTCTCTTTTATTTAACGGACCTCATTCTGGTGTTAACGTTCAACCTGTGCTCAGCCACTCTAGGATCAATGCCCACGTGCTCCTCTGGTGAAAACACAAAGATATCCACATACTCCCTCAGCAAATTAGATCAACTTTAAAATCGTCCACCAACGCCTTCCAACCTTCGTAATCTTCTTTGACTCCATTCGACCAACTCGATTTCCTTTAACTCGTTCTAGAGAATCATTTCTATGCGGGCCTCCTTTTACCTACTTGAGCTCTCCCCTCCCCCCCTCCCTCGGACTTCTGTTTATGTCCCGCCTTTAACAATGTCTGATAACAAGTCCTAGCTGACTGCTGGTCCCCAATGACCTCTCCCACTAGGTCTCTCATCAGGAACTTCATTTTCATGCAATCAGCCAACACCATTTCTTGGAAAGAGTTTAAGCTCGCCCGACCTAGGATGACATTGTAAACTAATTTTGCCTTTACTATAAAAAATCGTATCATCTTAACTTTCCTCAGGGGAGGAGCTCCCAAAGCAATCGGTAGCTGCACAGCCTCGACCCATCTGAAGCCGAACAAAGAGGTTCTAATAAGCTTGATCTCAACATCTAGGTCCATCTGCCAGAAACACTCGAAGAACATGATGTCTGTTGAGCTCCCAATATCAATGAAGATCTTTTCATCGTACAAAGAGGTTCTAATAAGCTTGATCTCAACATCTAGGTCCATCTGCTAGAAACACTCGAAGAACATGATGTCTATTGAGCTCCCAATATCAATGAAGATCTTTTCATCGTCATAACATGTAATTTCTGCTGTTACCACCAAAGCATCATTACGGGGAACCAAGATACGCTGTAAATCATCAGCTCCAAACTTCAACTCCAGCGCGTCGTGAGCAATTTGGATCTCCGCTATCCCAAGCACATCTCAGGTTAACTCGCCTAGCATCGTTGGAATCATCATCCGTCGTCCCCCAGCAATCATGTGTATCACCCCCTTCTTAGGAGGCCTCACTTGGTTCCTTCGGCCTTCTTCTTATGTCGTCTACCTTATTCTTCTCCCTATCTTGAACGACAAACTCCTTCAGATGTTATGCTCTTATAAGCCTCTCTATTTCATCCTTGAGCTATTTACAGTTGTTTGTTCAATGCCCGTAATCACGATGGTACTACAAAAGATGTTCTCCTCAGACCGACACTTTTTTCCTTCCTCTTAGATAAAGGTTGAGGGTTCTCTAATATGCTAGTATCTCCCCGCTTCTATAGCGTTTCGTACACCTGACCTCTTGGGAACGCCAGTGGTCAATAGTGCTCGTACTTAAATCCTATACGCATTTTTTTCATCATCTCTAGCATCTCGACCTCCTGACGGCCTCTTATCGGGCTTGTGCCTATACTTGTGCTTCTTCCCTTAGCTCGATCATTCAAAAGAAAGTTTGCCTCTGTCTCTTCCATGTTCATATATTTGGTGCACATCTCTAATAGCTCGTCATATGACCCAGCTAGCTTTTTAGTTAGAGAATTTCGGTAGTGACCCGATCGGAGACCTTGCGTGAGACCTCCTGTTTTGATCTCCTCCGACGCGGAATGAAACACCACACAAACTCGCGCGTACTGATCTACATTGTGCCTCAAGGATTCACTCTCGCGCTGCTGCATATTGATTAGTGTGAGGAGGTTTTTTCATGCTTTCGAGCACTATTAAGTTGGTTGTTGAACAAAGACCTAAACATGTTAAGATATAAATAGATCCTACTGGTAGCTGGTGGAACCAATCTTGAGCAGAGGCCTTCAAGGTCGTCAAAAAGGCCCTGCAACACACCGCATCACTATATCGGTGCAAGACCTACACATTCTAAAAGCTCCTCAAATGCCTATCTGGATTCGAAGACCCATCATAAAACATGCTCGACTCCCAAAAACTTTGAGGTAGATCAGCATCCAAGAAATCATCAGAAAAGAGATGACCATGCACCCGCGATAGTCGCCGTCCCTCAACTTTGGTCTGGAGCTCCCTAATCTGACCAGCCATGCACTCCAACGTCACGTCCCTCGGCGACCTATTAGCCATCGAAGACACAATATACCTCTCGTCTCGCTCCTCTCGCCTTCTACTACTGCACACCGTCAGCCTCTACACCACCGGAATATGTTGCTTCACCACAGGGACCATCTGTTGAGCCCCTTCCACCAATTGATCCACCACTGGTTCTTGTTGCTCAACCACCGTTGCCAGATTCTCCACCGCCACCAGAGGCTGCGACACGTTTAATCCACCAATCGCATCCACAATAATTCGATCCAACTCTCCTCAGTTAACTGTATCACTTGCTCACTACCACCTATCGTAGCTCATGGACCTGGTGTCTGCGCAACAACCTCCTTACCATTCTCCTGACCTACGAAACCTCGATCTAGCTCCAACGTCAGCATCTGGTTCACCCCTTGCAAGGTCATGTGAGGGGTAACTAGTGCACCTTCACCACCAGCGTATTCCAGAGGTGGTCCTACACCGTATGGCGTCTCGGCTGCCCAAACCTCCTCTAGGCTCTCATCCAAATTCCTTCTTAGCCTCTCGTCATCCATAGTCGTCTTTTCCATCATAGCTCCCTCTGCCACCAGTAGAAAATAGAGTTACCCTACAGAAGGACGCCAATTGATGTGCAGTTGCACCTCGAACTAGCTCCCCAAGACCCCTCGACCGAGTTTCTCTTTGAAGACCTGCAAAGACGCTACGAGATGTTCTTGGTGTTAAACATCCAACGATCAAGTCAGTAAGGTGATATGGAAAACTGTATGGAAATATCTGAAAGCTTAGAGTATATAAAGACTTATTAACCTTTCCTTTTCCCAATTCCACCTATTTATAGAGGATTATTAGCTTCCTAAACAAGATTTTTTCCTGCCCACTACCTGAGGGCCTGCCCAACTGCCATTTCTGCCCGAAAGGGCTGTCCGTCAGCTTTTAGGCTACACGTAGGTCCACCTATTAGTTATTTGGAGTTTTTCTCATCTGTCCGATTGTTTACCCTTTTATCCATGACCCTACACGTGTCCCTTTTGGTCAACATAGATTCGACCTATTACGTAGGTCGATCTTCTTACTGGAGTCACTTATCGAACTACCGAACCAAGCTCTTCAATATCCGAGCTATAAATCTATCTGTACTTACAAGATTGTCTGAGCTTCTTACATGTCGAGCTACCAATATTGACGTACTTTCTGAGCTCCCTATAAGCCGAGCTACCGCTATGGATGTGTTGTCCGAGCTTCCTATAAGCCGAGCTACCGATATAGAAGTGTTATTCGAGCTCCTTATATGTCGAGCTATATATATTCCTTAGTTAGTCGAGCTGTCTGAACACCTATTAGTACTTCTAAATCAACCGACCTAACTAATCTTAAATCTGTAAACTGAGCTAACCACGATTGGTGTCACCGAGCTATTCTTATGTGTTATATCATAATTCATTTCAAATTCCAGCAAGCTTAGTTCCCTCTTATGCTAATAGCATATGATTCTTGCATGTTTGATTAGTAGAAGTATACAACTGGTCCATGATAACTCTTTTAATATCTTAGTTCTCTCTAGGACACTTTTGGCGTTCCTCTTATGTTTCCGGATGGATATTGTATCGTTCGATGTCGAACTTTGTATTTCCGTTTCGAGTTAAAAAAAAAAAGAAAAAAGAAAAAAGAAAACTCTTTTAATATCCAAATAATATTTCATTTATAAAACCCCCAACATAAAATTATTTTTTCCTTACATAAGCACACTAGTACGATGAAATGGATTTAATTTTTTAATTATTTCACGGGAAAAAAAAAGGAAATGCAACTTTAATGGCGGGACCAATCATTAAACGCACTACCTAAGCTAAGAGCAGCAGCACCACTCTTCCATGGCCTTATCCACACTTTCTCCGCCATCTCTGGCCACTATCCCCGCCGCCTCGGCACCAAAGCTCGGACACCCTTCCGCCGCCGCCGTACCACTCCGAACTGACCTCCGGACTGAACGCATCTCGACTGCCGCCGCCGGCAACTTCGCTCCTCTGCCGGCAGGTCCTCATAAATGGAGGACACGCGTCTCCTTCTTTTCTGGTTTACTGACCAACAACAGGGAAAAAAATCGGGAGGCCACAAAAGAAGAGCTTCTCGAAGCCATTGCTCCCCTCGATCGTGGTGCCGAGGCCACCCCTGAAGATCAACAAATCATTGACAAGGTTAAATACAAAGACTTGATTTTTAAACCTTATTAAATTTTTTTTATTTTTATTTTTTCTAAATTTTATTTTATTGGTGCAAGTAGTTGTTCTGCTTTGAACTCTGGATCTAAACTTTCCCCGATTAATATATATTCTTTTGGCTGTCGGAAAAAGTAGCTAATGAACTCTGAATGGGGGGGGAGAGTAGACTGTTATTCAATCATCAACAATTTCAAGAATGTAGTTAGTTTGATTTTTTAAAGTTTGAGGTCGAACTTAGTTAAGAGTTTGAACAATTGATCAAGTTTATAGTTGTGTTCCCAAACAGTTTGATTATGATTTATGAATTTAAGTTTTGGAATTATTAAAACAGATCAAGTGGATGAGTCAAGTTTTACTCACATTTATTTTATTAAATAAACGAGACAAACACAATTTTGAATATAGGGTACTTGAATGATCTCAATTTGAATGACAATTCGAGGGGAGTATATAATATTAATAGCATAAAAGTATAGGTATAAGAAGTAAAGTTTACTGAGAAAATATAAAGTAAATAATAAAGTTGCAATATAAAATTGCACAATCATTTAAGTTTGGTAGTATAAAAATTTGTTCTACATTCTTTCACCTCATAAAATTCACTTAAATACAATTCGGTATTAAAATCTATTGCAATTTCTCATTCAAGCTCATGAAATTGCAAATCACGCATGCTCTCCTATTTCAAATAGCCAATTCTCAAGTATTTACATTATCACTATCAATTTAATAACCTTAAATTACTAAAAAAATAAAAACAACAAATATTATATTATGAAAATAGTTTCTAAAACAAATATGATGTAGCTTTAAAATAATAAATAGATTCATTAATGCAATAATTAAATAAAAAGTAATGTATTTATGGGGTATAATTGTAGATTAACTATATATGTATATATAGTAAAACTTAAAATGGTTGGGGAAGACAATGGCTTCCCCTGGTGGATTTGTAAATCCGCCCCTGACTATGGTGCACCTAGCCCCACCCTTTTATGGTGCGGTTCTTCTGCGTGGGACCGCACTCTATTGCCCGATTCTTTAAATCTTAGACAAGGAAAGTTTATTTTGGAAAATGTTTTTAGTTGTGCTGCTATATCATAAAGCTCTGTGTTTAAGTAAATCATTTCTCTTGTTTTGGTCTCAACTTTATTCTTGGCTAGATAGCTCGGAAGCTGGAAGCTATTAATCCAACAAAAGAACCGCTCAAATCCGATTTACTCAACGGGAAGTGGGAACTCATTTACACGACTTCCGAATCCATTTTGCAAACAAAGGTGAATGTATACTTCTTTAACATTCTATCGTTTTCACAAGTCTATTGTAGCACAAACTAAGTCATATATAATTGTATCACCAGGCTTGGTGGTGGTGTCTCTTTGACTCCATTTATGTTTAGCCATTTTTTTTACTCCTCTTCTCTTCTGCTTTTGAGCTTGTGTTTTACCATTCTGAACAGAGACCCAAGTTCTTAAGATCTCGAGCAAACTTGCAAGCAATTAACGCCGACACTCTTCGAGCTCAGAATATGGAGTCGTGGCCATTTTTCAATCAGGTGAGTTGAGTTTCTAAAGTCTATAACTTCATTTTGTCCAGTCAGTATTGTATGTCTACTCTTTCAATTCCATCCTTGTGGATCATCCATACGAACATGCACTATAATGCACATAAATAAAACATCATAACTAATCATTATAAATCATGTAATAGCTCAAATCAAGAAACCCGTGTCTATTTAGGAACCATTAATAGAGCATAGAAAAAGCCTTACTATAGCTCAGGATAGCAAATACCTGTGAACCTCCATGTCTATTTTCTTTTCCTTTCTTCTTCCCATCTTTTACGGGTGCATTAGTAATCCGTATAAAAATGGTGTGCCCATATTCTACCATTGTCATCTGTCTTATGTGATGATATGTACATGCAAGTTCTCAGGTTACTGCAGATTTAACGCCACTGAGTGCAAATAAAGTGGCTGTGAAGTTCGATTACTTCAAGATTGGTGGTTTGGTAAGTCTGCGTCCGGGTGTTATGTATGTCTGTTAAAGGATAGGAGTCTGATTGATTGCTCGTTAATTAGCATCATTTTTCATGAAAGTACAATATCCATGTGCCGGTTATCATGCAAGATCTGTGCTGGAGTACCTAATAAATGTCTGCAAAATGCTTAATTACGAAAATGTTTTGCACAGATACCTGTTAAAGCTCCTGAACAAGCTCGAGGCGCACTGGAA